AAACTGTTTCACAGGTTTTCAAAAAATATTAATCCAAATTATTTATTGCAGATTTTTCACTATATTGCAAGATTTTGCAGTACTGCACAGTACATGTATATTGTTACAATTACAAAGGTTTACAAGTTTAGAAAATGGTTAAGAACATTAGAAGTGTTTTTAAAATGTGGGAAAGGTTTATAAGAGTGTGGGGGAAGGATTTATAATACCTTAAAATATATATAAATACTACTGTCAGTCCAGGCCCTGTCCTGCCTCGTGAGAGAGACCTTTCCCCACATTCTCCAGACCTCGCCCAACCATCCAGACCCAGCACTTCTGCCACGTGCCTTGGGCCTGCTCCATATCCAACCAACCCCAGGTCCTGCGAGTGTGTGGGAGAGCTTCTGATTGGTCCTGCGCCCACGGGTCCAAGCTCAGGCCCACCACGTGAGGGAGGCCTTTCCCTGTGTTCTCCAGACCTCCCCCGCCTGTCTAGAGCCAGCACACTTGCCCTGTGAGTGAGAACTTCCTGTGAGAGAACTTCTGCCACACTCTTGGGAGTCCTGTAGCCCCACCAAAGCACAGCCCTGGTGAGTGTGTGGGAGAGCTTCTGCGCTCTCTTGCCCCCCCCCCCAAACCCTCCAAACCCAGCTCAGGCCTGGCATACAGGCTTGGGGTGAAACCCTGCAGGTAAAGTCCCTGCAGTGTGACTAGGGTCAAAACCACACAGCTAATCCAGGAACAGATCACCTTACCAGACGGGCACAGCAGGCCCACCTCCAAAGGCAATAACAATAAGGAGCTGAGCACAGTAGCCAGACCCAAGCCAGGCACAACTGCATGAACTACAACTTGGTATATCGGTACCTGAATTTTATTAAGTGATAAGGATATAACTGCACCAAAGCTCTACACCAAAGGTCAGAGGTCAGTGCTATAAGAAATGATAAAGACAGTGAAAATCATTGATTTGTTTAATCTTGGTAGTTCAATCATATTATCCATCAGATTTTTGCAAAGTTTGTAAGTCTTTAACACTTATCTTAGTAAAAGCCTAAAATATTAGCATTGTTAATTTTTATTTTTGTTTGAAAATTCTGTACCATATGTATTGTTGTATGTTGCTCTGTTTCTGTCTTTGTTTTTGCTTTTATTTTACAATAATTTTTTTAAATTAAAAAGCTAAAATAAAATAAAAATTGAAGGCCGGTGAGATAGCTCAGCGGACTCAGTGCCTGCTTAGGCAAGCACAGAGACCCCTGTTTGATCCCCAGCCAGCCCC